GTGTGTGTGTGTGTGTACACTGACAAGCTGACTCTAAAATTTACCTGTAAATAATGAAGGGCCAAAACAATGTTGATGAACAAATCTATGGGCTTACACTGCCAGGTACCAGGACCCATTATAAAACTATAATAATTAAGCTAGTGTATAATTGATGCAAGAATAGAAATACTGGCCAAAAGTACAAACAGGCAAGCCAGAACCAGACCCACACATTGTATCAACCTCCACTCAGGACAGGATTTCTAACATTGCCTACATCTAATGCTTATGTCTTCTTTTCTCAGGGGAGTTGGAGAGTCAGGGAAGGAATCACTAATCCATCCTCTTGATGCATTAGCATGAGTAGGAAAGTCAAAAATTGCAAGGATACTTTATAAACAAAGCAAAACACAAACGAACAAAACAAGCTTGTCTGTCTATAGACATTAAGCAGCAACTAGTGTAAGGTCTACAGCAAATTGCTGCCTCCTTACACTATCTCTCCTGTGGGTGTACTGCCGAGCATTTGGTAGGAGCCTAGGGCTGCTGGTGGCCAGCAAGGGGAGAAGTCAGGAAGAAAAATGAGACATGGAGATGGGAAGAATGAGGAAAAGCTAGAACCCACCAGTACTTCTGTGTTTGTCCGCAGACATATCTAAGAAAAGCTCCAGAGTGATGCCACTTCCTTATTTTCTCCTTCCAAATTTTGTGCAAGTTCCTCTATTAGCCAGTGCTAAAGGAAAAATCATTCAGAGAAGGAGATTCTGAGAAACAGTTCTCAGCTTAACCAAGTTAACACGGAAGAGTTGGACATGCAGAGTTATCTGATTTATAACAAATGTAACATTGTAGTATAATACAGAAAGGATGATCTTTTCAATAAATGTGCTCAGATTAATTATTCATATGAGAAAAATAAATCTCAATACCTAGCTCACACCACAAATATAATTTCAGATGGATTATAGATCTAAATGTTAAAGGGAGAACACAATTTTAAAAGGAGACATAGACCAATATTGGTCTTCATAACCTTGTGATAGGCAGAAATTTCTTAAACAGGACACAAAAAGTATTAATTACAAAGGGTAAAAACTTTATAAAACTTTTATAAAATTAAAATTCATATTCACTATTCATCAAAAAAATGCCATTAAAAGAGTAAGAAGGCAAGCTAAAAAATGGGAAAAGATATATGCAGTACAGGTGCTAGGAATTCATAATCAGGATATTTAAAGGATAGTTACAAATAAATAAATATGCAAACAAATAAATAAGTAAGCAAATAACCCAATGGAAAAATGGACAAAAGATGTGTACAGGCACATTAGAAAAGAGCATATCTAAATGGCCAATGTATTAGTTATTCATTGCTGTGTAATAAATTACTGCAAAACTTCATGGCATAAAACAACATACATTTGTTATATCACATTTCTTTATCTCACATACACTTATTTTGCCCAAAGGTCAAGAATCTGTGTATTAGTGGGGTCTTCTGACTCTGAGTCTCTCACAAGGTTGCAGTCATCTTAAACTAATGTCCATTAAAAACACATCTGTCCCAAGCTCATTCTAGCTGTTGCTGGCTGCATTCACTTCCTACCTAGTTGATGGACTACAGCTTGAGTTCCTCAGTTCATAGTCATAAGGCATCTCCATAGGATAAGTCACAACACAGCAGCTGGCTTCATAAGAGTAAGCAAGCAAGATGGTAAGAGGGCCAGCAAGACAGAAATCAGTCTTTACAACCTAATCTTAGAAGTCATGCCCTATCACTTTTGCCATATTCTCAAGATTTGAAGAAAGTCACTGGATCCAGCACACACACAAAGGAAAGTGCTAGATTACACAAAGACAGGAGTATCTGAACAACCAGCATCCTCAAACACTACTGATGGGAGGAGAAATTGTAACAGTCATCTTGGGGAAAGGTTTGGTAGTATTTATTCAAGTTGAATACCCCTAGAACTTCTGACTCAGCAATTCTATGTATTCATGTGCTCATTCAAAGGAAGTAAAAAGAAAAAAAACCTTCATAGCCGCACTGTCCACAATAGCCAAGTCATTAGTAAAATGTATATATAAACTGTGTCCTATTTGTACAATGAAAGTCAGAACAACAATGAGAATGAGTAAGTTACAACTACATCCAACAATATAGACCAATATTTCAAATGTAATTTGAATGATATAGTAGATACTCAAAGGAGAATGCTGCACATTTCCATTTTTATAAAATGCAAGCCAAAGCAATTTATGGTATTAAAAGTCAGAATAGGTTATCCCTGGACTATGGCTAGAAGGGGGCACAAAGGGGCTTGTGGAGTTTTCTCAAAAACTTTTGATAATTTCCTATCTCCTTCAGAACTCACTGAACTACAGGACCCTGCACTAGCTGTCTAATTCCCCCACCCCCACAATCTCTGTTTTCATCTACTATTCTCCTGGCTCACTACTGAAGTTTCTGTGGAAACTCCAACCATGTTTCAACATCAAGGCATTTTGTCTTATTGCTGCCATGCCTGGAAAATTCTTCTCTCAGATTTTGGGACGCCTCATATTCTCACCCTTTCCCAGGCTTTGTTCAAATGTAAGCTCATCAGAGAGGACTTCCCCAATTATAAAAAGTTGTCTTGTATTTAGCCTACCTTATTTTTAACCATGCAGTTATCCATTTCTGGAATATAATACATTTATTGATCTAATACCTATTCTCCTCTGCTAGAGTGTAAAGTCCATGAACAGAGACCTTTTTTTTTTTTTCACTATTTCCATGGACTCGAGAACAGTGCTTTACATGTAGTAGCCACTCTTTAATTATTTGTTAAATGAATAAGGACACCAGGAGTCCCAGGAAGGAGAAAAGAAGCCTCACAAAAACAATACAGACAAGGACCAGGAAAAATCACATACCACAAAGAGGCTACCCATTTGGGCTTGTGAAAAGAAAGGAGTTAGTAACCATGTTCAATATCTTAAGACCAAGAGATATGAATGAGGTAATATCCACTTGATGCAGGTGTAATATCCCACAAGTCCATTCTGAGAAAGATGGAAACAGTAATAATCTCAATACTTCTGGATGGCAAGAGTTTTCCCTGTAAGATATAAATTTGAGTCTTGCATCAGGGCAGTCCCTGATACCACTCTCAAGCTTCCTTAGTGTTTTTTATATCAGCAGAGTTCATTCCCTCTGATAGATGACTAATGAAATGTTCTACAGACATCCAAAATAAGTAATTTATGTAAACAGAGCACAAGGAAATCAGCTACACAATCAGACTTTCAAGGAGCTTGTAGTACATAAAAAAAAAAGTTTAATTGATTTTTTTAGCCATTAGGGTAAGACAGCTGTTTGTTCCTAACTACTGTTAAGATTATTGCTTTGGTAGATGAACTGCTCTTCTGAAAGAGGCAGCTTTTAGTAGGTTGCCGCTATATTGATCACAAATAGAAATTATATGACAAAAGTTCCCAGTGAACATTAGTTCATATTTCTTTTTATTCCATGTTTCCATTTTTCTTAGGTCACTTGACTTAGAGAGTAGCTCATATGCCCACATAAGTACTCTTCCTTTATGTTTTCCATTATTTGTACTCTGTATAAATGTTTTCTCTTCTTCACTATCTCTTTGGATTAATGACCATTTAAAATATCAGGTTGAAATGTGGTTTTTGTCTTGAGTATTCAGCTCCTAAAAGAATGGTGAACCCAATGTAATATAAGTCAATATTTAACATGCATACATCCTGTAATAAGATTCATTCCTATTTGGGTATTAGCACTTTAGGATAGCATCTGTCTTTTAATTGCATTTTTAATGGTATTTGATGATGCATTTCATCATCCAGGAGAACCTAAGAGATGGTGTAAATAGATATGTAGTGAATGGTACACAACAACATATTAGCTTAGTATAAATACCCCCATACAATCAGAAGGATATGGTACTTCAACCAGACATTCAAACTTCTTTTGAGGAAATCATAATGTATATTTAGGTGAGGTACAGAAAATTATGCATTTATCTATAATCTAGCTGCTTACATGTATTTCAAGGAGTGCCTAAGTGCATGTTTATTTAATATAACCTTATATTTAAAAAATCAAGAAAGAGGAGTGCCTGAGTGGCTCACTCGGTTGAGTCTGGCTCTTGATTTCAGTTCAGATGATGATCTCATGGTTCATGAGATCGAGCCCTCATGAACCAGCTGGTCTCTGTGCTGACAGCTAACATGTTAAATTCAAATAAACTTAGGAATTACTTATACAAAAATATAGCAAACACGTATCATTAGGAAAAAGTAAGGGTGAAGAAGTTCTTATATTAGCTGCATGGGAAAAAATACTGATTTTGTTTATTTTTCCTTCTCCAAATTGTTGACTTTATAAGGCGATTAATGGAAAATAACAAATATATACAACTCAATTTGATCTTTCATTGCTGACTCAATTTGAATTTTAGGCCAGCAATTTCCCAAGATAAGAAAACTTTTATAATTTTAATATTTTAAAATTTTATAAAATTCACACAATATTCTTTTCTCAAAAAGTTCGTGTCTTTTTTCAAAATAAACAAATTTCTCATATTACCAACTTCCTTTTATACTTCATATATTCATTCATTATTTCATTTATTGGGAATCTAATAGGTACCTCATCTATTTAATTTTTGTGCCTGCTGTACTCCTCATGTTCTTGTGTCATCATGGTACACAAAAACTACCCTAGATCCTTATCTTAAGCCTCCAACAACTGAAACATTCCTTGTTTTCAAATTGCTATTTTCTTCGCCTTGCTCACCCTCACTATTGAAGGGCCATGTTTGCCCTAATGATTCTAGCTGAGGAAATGCAGGCCATCTACTTAGGCTAATATATACTAACACAACAATGAATCAACCATTAGAACCCAATCATTCCCTGTGTACCAAGTCAATGAAAGTTAATTCAAACACTGCAATTTGGTGGGTTTGCCAACAAAATCATAGTGAATTAAGAAGGATGTTAGGAATTGTGCTTTCGCTTGTTTTTGTTCTGTTTTGTGGACAAAGACTTAGACAAGCGCAGAAATCAAATCCTCTTTTGCAGCTCAGAACTCATAGCTCAGTATGAGTTTTGATGCGTATTAGAAGGAACAAGATCACTACAGCCGACTAAAGTGATGGTGGGGGGGTTGATAAACTTGAAGATTGGTTTCAGGACTATAGAATAACTAAAAGCACAGGATATAAGGGAAATTTTAGCTATGGTGAATTAATATTCTAATTTTGATGTTGGTATGAAATAAAGATGCCTTCTTGTTTTAGATAAAAAAAGGCAAGAAGGATGTTAGGAATTTGAGTGGACACTGTTCTCCAGCACAATGAAATCCCACGATATAGGTATGGTCTATCACTTCTGTCATCACATGAAAGTTGTTGTGGAATCATATACTCCATTTGGAGCTCAAATGTGCTCCTACAACCAGAAAAATCTCCAAGATAGAGTCTCAGGTGTTAACAACGATCAGCCTTCAGTGGTAGAGTTTAGAGTTGTGCAGATGGGAGAGGGTGGAAACAGCATCTGCTCCATAAAGGAACAGTGGCAGCAATCAAAAACAATCTCACCATTATCTTCCCACACCCAAGTCTTCACAAGTAGGAATGCGTCACAGTTAACTTAATGCATCATCATTATTATTATTTAACTGAACCATCATCATCTGCACCCAAAAACATTTACTGAGTCCTCTGTGAAAATCTTTGTGTGGAAGAACATAAAAGAGTATAGAAAGAGTATAGGCATTCTAGAAACTTCCTAGTCAAATAAGGTTCAAAATAATTACAAAAGAATAGATGAGGGGCACCTAGCTGGATCAGTCAGTTAAGCAATGGACTCTTGATTTCGGCCTAGGTCATGATCTCACAGTTCATGAGATCAGAGCCTGCTTGGGATTCTCGCTCTTCCTTTCTCTCTGCCCCTAACCTGCTTATGCTGGTGTGCATGCACACTCACTCCTCCTCAAAATAAATAAACTTTAAAAAAGATAGATAAATAAATAGCAGCATGAGATAAAGGTACTATGTAGCCTGGACATTATTAATTCACAGACATTTTAACAACAATGACCTTAGATATTCTTCAGCCTAGCCCCAATGTTGAGTCACATAGAGGTTAAGTGGGTTATCCAATGTTGCATGACTTAAAACTGGCACCAAAACCCCTGATATTGACTCTAAGTGCTGAAATTAATTAAAGAAAGTAACTTGGTCTATATAAAGCCAAGACAGGAAAAGAAGTCACTATTTCTGTTAATATATTCACCATTTTATGTTATAATATCCAAAATCAATTGCAGTAGGTGGGTCTATGTTCATCCTGTGAGCCCCTTGTTTTGCTGCTGTCAGGTTTCATAATGACCAGAAGGAAATCATAAGTTTCAAACATACTATGATCCGTTTTAGTGATCAGAACATCCAGTTATCATGTAACAATCTGTCTCTGCTATTTATTCTTCATTTATTAAATGAGTTGGTGGGACTCACATATTAGTATTTGTGAGGAAAGTCTAAAAAATTAAATGCCTATTTTATTCAGCTTTGAAATGAGCAATCTTGCTTACTAGAAATATTATATTCTTATTTAAAGTAGATACCATAGAAGGAAACAGTCAGTTCTTAGAAAAAGAGAATAGTGAAGCCATGTTGTAAGAATGTCACCCAAACATAAAGATAGTCATTTTTCTTAGTGCCCATAGGGTAAACCAGAGGGAAAAAAAAGATAAAAAGTAATTTCTCAGATAAGTAAATGAAAATTGCATTCACAGTCACAATACTATTTATTTTGTCACAATTAAAATCCTCAAGTATATACGCCACCTCAGAGTCACCAAGGTTACTCTTTGAAGACCTTAAGAAAGACACACAAACAGTGGGGATGAGCACTGGGTGTTATATGGAAACCAACTTGACAATAAACTATTTTTAAAAAGAGGGGGTGGGGCGCTTGGGTGGCTCAGTTGGTTGGGCGTCCGACTTCGGCTCAGGTCATGATCTCATGGGTTCAAGCCCCGCGTCGGGCTCTGCGCTGACAGCTAGCTTAGAGCCTGTTTCAGATTCTGTAGCTCTCTCTGACCTTCCTCTGCTCACACTGTCTCTCTCTCTCTCTCAGAAATAAATAAAACATTAAAAAATTTAATAAAAAGATAAACAACAAAAAACAATATTGACACATAATAATGGTATTTGTCTCCTCCAAAGGACAATAGGTACCAAACAGATCTTTGTTCATTAGGAAATGTTCAAAACTCAAAAAAAAAAAAAAAAAAAAGGTTCAAAGCTCGTACATTATCAACATGGATAGCAGTGGCAGGCAGATGTTTGAGAAATGAATAAAGAATGAAATCACAAAGCACTCAGAAAAAATATGAGGTAGTAAAAATAGGAAGTGATAAAAACTATCCAGCATACTTTCCTAAAGGGTAAATCTTTTCAGGAAATGTAGAAATTTTAAAAGATAATATGAGTCCACTAAAGTGAATCACCAGGTACTAGCAAACCCCAAATGTGTTTTAAATTTGTGCCACATAAAGTCTACAGAAATCCAGTGGAGATGGGGGTGGCTGGGAATGAAGGAGGGGCATGTTGAGGACATCTAATTAGCAATAAGTAACCAACTACCTTATTGAGGAGCATTTGTATTCCATTAATTCAGCCAAGCACTTGGCTGGTAGTAAATACATTTTTGTTGTAGTAAACGAAAAAGAATGGAGAAAATCTGCTTTGTAGACACAGAATCAAACTAATGAGACAGTCAAGAGAAGGCTGTAATGAACTTAGGAATGAGGAAGAACAGATTCACTAATACATAAAATTCTGTATTAAGATCATAGATGTTTAGAAGAGAAATTTACTTAGGGAAGGGCTGGAAACAGAAGTATCCATCCAAATTTAGAACTATGGAAGCATCAAGATGAACAAAATTAAGCTTTTCTTTTGTAGGGCACAAGGGAGAAATTACTTTATGGATTTTGCTTGGGAATCCCCTCTTTAATTATGCAAAAAAATTATATACTGTGAAGTTCAAGCAGCCTCACAAAGCTTTAACTACATCTCAATTAAATGGCATAGGGAACTGCAAGGAACCCAGACAGAAATGAAAACAAGCATGTGAGCAACTTTATTCAAGTTAAGATTTTTTCCAAAGTAGAATTTTTTAAAAAATAAATGGAAAAAATAATTCCCTATCTTCCACTGTTTTGTCCACTTAACTTGAATCTCATGCCCAGCTCATTAGTGACATAGGACCCTCATTATTTGAGTGAAATATTGCAGCTATGGGTTTTCATCTGCTCAGCACATTTCTTATCTTCCTATAACTGGGAGTAATATGCCTTTGTATTTTTGGGTGCCATTTCAAGTCCATATAAATAAAAAATGGTACCCTCTGCTCTCCTAGCCAGAGTGGAGACATTTGGCATAGAACTGTCTATCAACATACCCTGTGGCCTAAACAAGGCCTATAAGAGCCAGGAATTTTTCAGAATTAACCTGACACAAAGGGTGCTCAGTCAACCTGCATTAAATGAATGTCAGGCAAGTGAATGAATAAGCCAGTGGGAATAAGTTAGACCTGTTTCTTTCCTTGAGAGTCATGATGATAGGAGAGTATAACCCTGCCCTCCTCCAGCCTTTGTTAACTTACTAGAGGAAGCTCATCAACCAGTAGATGATAATGTTGCTGACATTAGAGGAAAGTAGAGACAAACATAACTAAGACATGAATAAAAAGAGAATCTTCATGAAACCCTTCTGGAATTTCTATTTTTGAGACTAATAAACTTTCTTTTTTGCTGAAGTTGATCAAGTTTCCATCACTTGTCCAAGAAAGTTCATGTTATACACAGTAACACTTGAAAAGACCCCCAGAGTACCTAGCAGGGGTGATCAAACAAGTAATCATTATAGATTTAAATAAAACATATTTCATTATAGATGTAAATAATATTCAAAATTGTTGAAATAAGCAGATAAATTTCCTCTCAGTGCACTTTCAATTTACAGTTGCTCTCACATTAAACCTAATAATATTGCTTTAGGAAAAAATAGATAATATTAAATTCATATATCGTGAATATCCTGCATAATATAGAAGATTCTAAAAGGCTACATGTTTACTATTCCATTTTCATGATTTAAAACTTTCATACAGTATTAGAAACATTTGCAATTTATTAGCAACTCCCTCTTTCATTTTCTTTTTTCTTATTGCTCTGGAAGGCTATTTTAAATTTACCATCAATTGATGAGTTTTATCTGTGGACATTAAGTTTCAGAATCAGAAACTCAGATTCCCATAGGGCCACAAAAAAGACTACTCTTTCGTGAACTTAAGAGTGTCTTAAGGGATCCTGGCTGGCTCAGTTGGAAGAAGATGTGGCTCTTGATCTCTGGGTTGTTGAGTTTGAGTCCCATGTTAGATGTAGAGATTACTTATCTTGAAAAACAAAAAAAAAGAGTGTCTTAAACTGCAATTCTGGTGAAACTAATTCTCCTTACCTGTCTTTGAGAATCAAGCCACAACTGTAAATTATTCTTCAAAGGGTAGAAGATGAATAAGGAAAACAACAACAATAACAACAAAGAACCAAAACAAAATAAAAAACAAAAAACACCTCAACAATAATTCAAAATTCACCATGATCACCATGATAGAGCTAATGGTTCCAGGTGCTAAAGGTAAAACATGAAGACAGAAAGAACTGTGATATTATAACCCTGTTTCAGATAGAGAGAACAAAATAGGCATATAATTAAAAAGGTACTGCATTAGAAAATAGCCAGGTTAGGGAAATCCACTCTGGGGAGATGAGGTTTTAACTGAGATCTGAATCAAAGTTCCCAGGCATACAAAGACCTGTGAGACCGGCATTCTAAGAAGAAGGAACTGATGTGCTAGTGCTCTGAAGAGGCAGTATGTTTGAAATTCAAGGAAAGTAGATAGATACCTAATGTGGCTGGAGTGTAAGAAGCAAGAAGGAGTGTGAGCACTGGTAAGTTCGGGAAGCCATTCAGACAGGGGAATGTCACTATCTAACTTCCCTTTCCAAAAGGTTACTGGCTCCGATGGCACAGTGAACTGTAGGTCTCAAGATTAGAATT